GTACAGGTCCAGTAATGTCCATGAGTAGCCCGCCTGTTTTCTAGCAGGACCTTCTATTCTCCATATTAGATAGCCATAGGTAAACAGAAACACAAGTGTAGCTACCTTTAACACAGCAGCTTCCTAACAGTTTGCCTCCTAAGAAAGCAATTCTGATACCTTGGACCACCAGAATAGAGGCTAACACTTGTGTGCTAGGAGTAGAAAGGAAGGTTTCTCTTGGGTCTGTGAGTACATCTGTAGCAGTAGTGCAGCAGAGATGACTTCCCACAGTAGCCTGGGGCCAGGTTTGCTATAGTGTAAGCAGAGCAATAACTGCTATAAAAGATGATAGTTGATAAGAGAAATTCCGTGACATTAAGGACAATTTGGTTCAGCAACCCCCTCCATCCATTGGCATAATTATTATTGCCGTATTAATGAAAATAAGTAAACTCACTGTATCCCTAAAATAAAATGGCTTTATTTAGAAGAGTCTGGGTCTGGGTCCAGCCTACCTGAGGGACCGCCTTTCCCCGTATGTTCCCTCGAGCACTACGGTCGGGGCCCCAAAATCTTCTAACTGTGCCGGGCCCCAAAGATGCTAAATTGGCCGTCACGAGGGCTAGGGCTTTTTCGGTGGTGGCCCCCACCTGGTGGAATGAGCTCCCGGAGGAGATCTGGGCCCTGCGGGACCTGATGCAGTTCCGCAGGGCCTGCAAGACGGAGCTCTTCCACCAGGCTTTCGATTAGGGGCCGCCGCCCCCCCCCCCCCCGGTTGCATACCATCATGGGGGGGCCCTAGGAGGGCAAGAAGAAACATCTGTTGTAACATCTATTATGGAATGCCTACCGGGGATGTCTGGTTGTGGATGTGGTTGTCCTCTCTGAGATTCTGGAATGGAGGAACTGTAGTTTTGAGCACTTTAATGTTTGTGAGGGTTTTAAATTGTATATTATGTTTTTAAATGTTACTAAATTATTTGATGTTTTATCAGCAGGATTTCCTGCCATGTAAGCCGCCCTGAGTCCTACGGGGGAGGGTGGGATATAAATTTAATGATAAATAAATAAATAAATAGAAAAAAATATTTGTCAGCATTCAGGAAAACTTACATGAAAGTCTCTGCTTTTATTCAGAGGCTTGTTTGGGGGTGGGGTTAAATCTTCATGACTTAAGGGCAAGGAAAATTCAACCCAGGCTCCCTCTTAGCTCTTGCAACAGGATGAGAGAGAAGGATTAGTGAGCTAATTAGAAATGATTGCATCTATCAGCACTAATTAACAATACTGTGGTTTCACTTGTGTGTTCTTTTGAGCTGTTCCCCTTCGGGACAGCTCAGGAGTTGCCCCCCCCTTCCTCCAGGGCTATTCTATCTCTCCTTCGTTGATTGGAAGTGATAGCTGAACTCCATGGCAGCAATTGGAAATTCTGCTCAGTGTTCCTTTCGAATTGCCCCTCATTTTCAGTCTCCGAACCCACCTCTCCCTGTGTGAGGCTGCTGTGAAAAGTATTAGAAACTTTTAATCCTTTCCTCTTTCATCCCTTTATTGTTTTACTGAAGTGTTATGGATAAGAGCATTATTTGTGGGACCTCTCACATGTTTAAGGTTGGCGTTGAAAGCATCTGATGCAAAACACTTTTATTGTCTGAATGGCACTGGAAACTGGTTGGCCCAGGAATAAAATCAGATCATTTGTTGCTGTGCATGTCAGCAGAAGAATCTTTCAACATATAACCGGCTCAATAACATTGCAGATCACTGTAATGACGAAACCAGTTTTGCAAAGCTTACTTGCATTTCAGGCTTTTCATTAAGACCCTGAAGTGCTATAGAAATGGTAAAGTATGAACCATCAGTTTTTACATAGTGGTTTACCATTTCAGCTATCCTAACCTTGGACTTTTGAAATAGAATAGATTATGCTATAGCATCTGCATTAAACAGTTTTAATGAACAATGATCCAGGTAGTCAACAAAGTATAAAAATGTGTAGTATGTGTTCCTCTAGGACATTAAAAAATATTGTTAAACTCAAATGGCTCAAAGCCAGCCTCATACAAAAGTCTGTAAAAATAACCAAAAGGCATGAGTCAGTGTGATATGGGGTAAAAGTCTTTCAATGACTCCTGATGTGGCATTCATTTAGTTAACTACATGTCATAATATAGATTGGGCTGCTGTTCAGAGGGGCAAGACCCCCCCCCCGCTATCAAGTTACAGCCAACTTATGGTAACCCCATAGGGTTTTCAAGGCAAGAGACGTTCAGAGATGATTTTGCCATTGCCTGCCTCTGCTTAGCAACCCTAGATCTCCCAGGTGGTGTCCTGTCCAAATATTAAACAGGGCTAACCCTGCTTCGTTTCCAAGGTCTGACAAGATTGGGCTAGCCTGGACCATTTAGTACCAGCTTGCAAATAACCACTCACCTGGGTTGCCTCCAGATGACCATGTAAGTTTAGCAATACGTACTGCTTCCCATGTGAAAACTCTCACTCCTCCTCTGCAGAAAAGGGAAGGCAACAACCCAGCAGATGGCCTCTCCAACAGAGAGCCCTGTTTAAGACAGAATTACAGTCTGAAGGCAGCACATTAGAGTCTCTTTTCCTTGTTTCCTAGAAGAGATAAATGAGTAGGCACATCCAAAATGGAACCCCTGAATTTAAGGCCACGTGATATGCTGTCTTTCTCCTGCCTTCATGGGAGATGGGTGGGTTGGGGAGATGGTCCCATATGGTACCACCGGAGTAGAGCTCTGTCTCAAATAGGATACTGTCTGAAACACAGTGTACAAGGTGGCTGGTTTTTCTTTTCTGCTTTCTTTCTCCAAGAGAAACAGAGTCCAAAACAATGCAAGTTCCTCTTATTCTAATGTAAACACAGCAGAACAGCGGGGTTTTTTAAAATTTCTTGAGGATGTGTGTTAGCTGAGACAAATTCTGATAGCTGCCCCTTCCTACTTACTCCCAGTGCCTTCTAGCATTTGTGGATGGGAAAGGGAGAGGCATGTTCTGGCCCCATTGTGTCTTGGGAGGGGAAGAGTACTAGAGTAAGTCAGAGGAAAATAATGTTGGGGCAGGCTCAGGTGAGTGGATCAGAGTGTGTGACCATTTGTCCCTTGCTTATTTGCAAGTCTTACTGTTGTATATAGTCTACAGATCCTTCAGAATGTGCTTACACGCTTGGCTCAAAGAAAAGGCTGAACTAGTAATTGACAACTTTATTGTGTTAAGGCCTTGACTCTTCCGGAGAGCCTCCTTGGACTCCTCTGCTAACAGCCTGCAGCTGCTATTGTCATCTGCCTCATACACTCTTTTTTACACCCCTGCCTTAGTTTTAGTTCTTAATCCTTTTTTTCTTACTTGGTGTGCAGCATTTTGCTGTACAGTTGCAATGTGTTCCACGTTTTGCAGCTCACACTGAAGCTTGCAGTGTCAATAATTGTTACTGTGCTAAGCAACTTCTCTGTCTTGTCATCTCTTATTACCATGCAGGATTTCCTTGGGCTCTTCTTTGGGCTCCCATCAGAATTTTGACCTTCTTTATTAATTAAGCTGCTCATTTCCTCCTGCCTGTGATTGAGATATCTGATAATATGTGCCTAAAGCCTTCTTTCTTAAGGATAGACATTGCTTTAATGCATAAATTCCAGATGTTTTGCCCATATTTAATGATAGCTCAAATTAATCAGCAGTTGGAGAAAGGAAAAGGCTTTCTTGACTGGCTGATCTGTCCAGTATACAAAGCCACATTCTTTTTTAAAAAGTGCTTAGTTCTATGATGAACAGACCAGTGTATTTTTCACTTTTGGCTGCAAAATTTTTAGTAGGGGTTTTGAGAAATATTGGAGTTTAGCATAGTAAAATTAAGAAACTGTGTTGTTGCCAGTTACTGCTGCTGTGAATTGTCATTATTTTGTATACACATCTGTACAGAATTGTCACAAGCAGTTCTGCTTCTGTTTCATTGCCCCACCCCATGCATATAGTTTTTTCCTGTATGTTTGTGTGTGGATACATGATATGCTATTTATATATAATATAAAAAAACTGGCAGCTGAGTTTACCCATTCCTCTAGTGAAGTGGGCTTTTCTCAACACTGGAAGCATGATACAGTCCTAAATATTGATGTGAAGCTGCCTTCAAATTCTGAAGAAGTGAGCAGTGACTCACAAAATCTCATACCCTGCCACAAATTTTGTTAATCTTTGAGGTGCTACTACACTCTTTATCTTTTCTGCTGCCCTCAAATTGTTTAGGTTTTTCTCCTCCCTGTTCAGAAGTTTGTTTCTAAGCAGAATTATGTAGAAGCAATAGGAAGCATTTTGAGAGAGGTTGAATTTTGTGTTATTACAGCTGAGCAGATTTCCTGTGAATTCCATTTATACTGATGGCAGTCTTCTCTTAGGGTGTCTTTCAGGTTGCTATGTTCGTCTGTAGTAGCAAAATCAACTTCTCGCTTCTCTAAAAGCAGTCTATAAACTATTCTCTTGCCAGGGTATTCTAAAATATTAATGAAATGGCCTTAAGAATTATAAAGGCAAAACACAATTTGTCGTGAATTGGATGCAGGAGGATGTATCCTGTTTGTGCATCCTTTCAGTGAAGGTGTGGCATTTGCAGGTAGTAATGAAAGTAACTAGAAAATTATGAATCTTAGGCTCTTCTTAGGGAGGAAAAGATATTCCAGAAGGGTAACGATGAAGCTACCATGCCCTCTTTAGGGCAAAGTTCTTGGTTTGATATTTTTCCTTTTTTTCAGGAGGTTGGCAAAATGGGTCTGGTTCATAGGGGACAGTTCAGTTAAAGTCATAAAAGGTTCTGAGATGCCCTTGATAAAATGGAGTATAAGTTTTTAGTCATATGAATGTAGCATTTTTTCCTTGTAAGCAGCAGATGGGATATTACAGAGGCTTGAGAGAAGGGAATGATCATTAGCCCTAGAGATCTGCATATAATATATATATAAAAATATAACTTGTTGGTTTTTTTCTTTTTTTCTGCTTTCCCTGTGTAGCTCGGATTGGGAAAATGAAACGGCGGAAGCAAGATGAAGGGCAGGTATGTCCCCTCTGCAGCCAGCCTCTCTCAGGATCCGAGGAGGAGAGGAGTAGGCATGTCGAACAATGCCTAGCAAAGGTAGAAGCGCTGAGGGTTCCCTGCTGCCTCTCTCATTCCTTTCTTCTTACTCTCTGCTGTGCTGGTGATCTGGGTAGAACCAAGCTTGCAGAGTGAAGACCACAGGTTTGAGGATTGTTTTGCAGATCTGTACCAGATCTCTGTCTTGGAAATGGTTTGAATGATTTAGCCTGCCTGGTGGATTTTTTTCAGTCTCATTATCTTTTTGGCCTTTCAAATGAGAGGGGACAGCAGACTCAGCAACTATTTTAAGCTGTTGCCGGGGGGTGGGGGCACCAGCCTCTTTTTGAACCCTGGGTATAGCTTTCTTGGGCAGCTGTGATTTGACAGTGACAGCAGATCTGTAGTGGCAAAGGCATAGATTGGATAACAAACAGCTAGGAAGGTGCAGGTCAAATGCTTCTCAAGCCATAATAAAACCTCTTGATACTCAAGTGTTACCTATGATCACATAGTCTCTAATATCACATTTTTAAGGAAAATAATTGAACAAGTTCTAGTACAGGTACAGAACAGTCATCTTGTAAGGCAATTGCTCTCTGTTTCTACTTGTATTTTTATGATAAAAATACTTGATAGGGCATTGAATGATTTACTAATGAAGAGTAGCTTGACATTCTAATCATGGGCCCCGGTCACACGCGCAGGAAACTGCGGGGGAGAAGTGTGGCTGTTTGCCCCGGGGCAAACTAACACGCAGTAAAGTGATCATACCTCCTGTGGAGGTTCTGTGGAGGTACCGTGGAGCTTCCGTGGTTACGGAGAGGCGTCGATCACAACACATGCCTGCGCGCAACGAAGAAGCGCGCGGCGCGGCGAACTGGGTTTCTTTTTTTGTGTACACTACGAATGCGCATGCTCCGTTGAGTGCTTATGCGCAACCACGGAGACTTGGGGAAAAAAAAAATCTTCTTCGCAAGGGGACATGGACGGGCGCCGGATGCCACCGGAAACGCGATCAGACGCCCGCCCTTGCCCCGCAGTTTCCGGAAACTAGTACCTCCGAGGTACTAGTTTTTTGCTCCGTTTTATCGGCGGTTCGCCACAGTTCAACCACGGGAGCTCTACGCTCCCCAGATGTTGCCGTGTGATCGTGCCAGGTAACTCTTCCGTCTATTTAGCGTGGCTTCTGCTCCGTGTGAACGGGGCCATGGTGGACTGTATAGCAGCTTCTGGTGCAGTTGACTGTGGGCTATCGTTTGACAGTTGAGAAGCATTGTTAGTGTGACTGGGGCTTCAGTTGGTGGGTTGAATCATACCTTCAAAACTGGAATCAAATTGTAGTGGATGGCTAAGCAGCATCCTCAAGAGGCTTGAAATACATTATTTCTGCCATGCAGGCTGTACTTCCATGCACGCTAATCTGAAGAATCATTTCCAATAGCCACCCTAAAGCCTGATGTAGAATGGCATAGTTCCATTCTAACATAGCAGCAGCTCAGTTTTCCTGTCTTCTGCCTTGGGTCAAGATGTTACAGGGCAGGGATGCACTGATATATGGTATCCCAGTGTGGAACATCTACTCATGTGAGAGAGATCTCCTGGAAATCCTTACTTCCGATCTATGACTAAGAAATCAGTTACCTTGATCCTTTATCATAACATTGACATGGGAGTCTGTGTTGCTGTGCTTTGTTGATCATAATGTCTGCGGTGCCATGAAACAAGGACAGCCATGCCCAGAAGTCTCCAGCGATGAGAGTTACTTTCTGTGACATGACCTAGGATCTGGATTTTGGTTTGGGGACAGGTGTCTCCCAACCCTCAGGCCATGGAGCTCAGTCAGGCTGCATTTGGAAACAGCCATGGATTGTGCTGAGCTTAGTCAGTGTAAATCAAATGGGAAGCTTGGTACCGCTAACAACTGCGCTGTAAGAGAAGGAGACCACCAGGAGCTCCCATTAACTCTCAAGGTGAAATGCAGTTAATTCCAGTGATGCAAATTGTTATATTGTTAGGACCCCCTATAGCATTTTGTTTGTACTCTGTGCCAGCCTGTCCATGCCTACTTCTGCCATTAGTCAGCCTTGCCTATGTATCTGTCACTGAAAAGAAAAGTACCCCACTAACGCAGTTCTTTACCCAAGACATTAAGACGATGCTTGGTGCTTTATTCTCTTTACCAAAACAGAGAGAAGGTTCATGCATGATGGAGGATGACTCTGTAGACATTGAGAATGAGAATGGTAATCGCTTTGAAGAGTACGAATGGTGTGGACAGAAGAGGATACGTGCCACCACCCTACTGGAGGGGGGATTTCGAGGTAAGAGGGGCAATTGTAGGGGGGGGGCTGCTGAGATGTGCTGGGGCCTAAGCAATGCATGTATCCTCTTTTTATCAGGAGGTGGGGTAAAGAATGATGTAGAAAGTCAACCTTGGATAGATATTCTGTCCTCCTGGGCTTGTGTCTTCAGAAGGACTTGTATGAAGGTCTTGTAAGTCACTTGCTGGAATTCAGAGAATCCTAGAAGTAGCTTGACATAGATGTCTGACTCTTAAGGAGACATGGGTGTAAATAGAGTCAAAGAGTCAGTGTTTGATGTAGTAATGGCTAGTGGCATGCTTCCCAATCCAAAATTATATTATTAGTCTCTTGATAATATATTTTCACCTAAAAGTGTTTGTGTGGTGGTGGTGGGGCTTGTAAGGTAGAGTAAGTATAGTTTATTCACAAAGGTCTCTTTCTAATCTTAATTGCTGAAGATTCTGAAGCGTAAGCCTTTTGAACTTCCTGAACTAGAATAGCCATCATTAGCAATATTCTGTCATTCACTGATAGTGTCATCCTAAGCAGAGTTACACCCTTCTAAGTCCATTGAAATTAGTAGGTGTAGAAGGAAGTAGCTCTGCTCAGAATGGCACTGTGAACCTTGTCAGACTGTCTTAACAGGCCAGTTGCTTACTTGTCAGTGAAGGTGCATGCTTGCTGTTCAGTCAGGTCCAAATTATTTTCATATGCCTGTGAAAACAAAATTGTAGAGGTGTTAGTATAGTGCTTTTAATTAATATCAGGTAATATAGCCCAAAGTTGAAGAGAACAGGAGCAATCACCATCAGATCAGTTTCAGTGATGCTATGCATAGTTAAAAAAAAGGGGGGGGATTGAAGCAGAGAATGAAATTGTAAAAAGCACTAGTCTGAAGTGACGAAAGCTGGTTTATCAGCCGCTGGTGATGTATGGAAGCTGACAGCTAAGTCACTTTAGCACCTGCATAAAATATTAAAGGGCCGGTTATGCATTTATCACTCCATCTTTTTTAAGGCTGATAAATGAGAATTCAGCAACCTGCCATACACCTCCAGCACTGCACCCTCAGGGCTTCCAGACAAACACATCTTATTTTTCCTCCTTCTATTCCTTCCCTTGTGACAGGAAAATCGGCTGCAAAGGAGAGAATGAGTTATGGCAAAATGTGACCTTTGTGAGTTTTATTGGCGAATGTAATTTTAGCTGTGCACCTGGCTCTTTTCTTATACTCAGCCTTTTGCTCTGTGTCAGAATTAACCAAACTGTCTGGCGTGAACCTTGTGGTTCTATGGAGATGATGCCTTACCCTTTCTTGAATAAAGGAGCCCCATCAGACAAAGTTCATCTCTTTGTGTGTGGGGTCCACATATTAGTAGATTGTCCTTGATTTCAATTTAAGGTATTATGGGGGGAAAGCCCACTGGAATAGAGACTAGGTTTAAAAACTTGGTGAGTTATTCCAGCTTACAAATGATGCTTCTGTTTTTCTCAGTGGGGTAATTTGGAATAAAAAACAGATGGAGAGAAGCCGAAGAGTTAAGCAGCTGCATTATAGGTATTCAGTAGTTAATCTATAAGGAAGAAGTATATCCTCTTGGCTACCAGTAAATGCAAAACCTCATCTGATACAATGCAGACGTCCTAGCAAAGGAGTTTGTGAAGCATATTAGATTTCACTTAGTTGTAGAGAGCAGAAATTTCTGTCAATACTAGTGTTGGCTTTAGTCTACTTCTTCAGAGGCCAAGCTATCTGTTTTTGTCCAAGGCATGCTGTCCCTCTGCTCTGCAACACCTTGGGCCCATTTTGTAAATCTTCATCTAGAATCCCTGTTGTGACTGTCATCTTCTGGGTTCCCTGCATCTGCCTCTTTTAATTTATAATTCTTATCCAACTGATTGACTGCTGAGGAAGTTATTAGCCTTTTAAGCCTGTGGAATTCTAGAGAGTCCTCAATGTTGTTTTCTTGTAGGCTGAGTGTGAGAGGAACAGTAGCATCTTAATGTTCCAGGAACTTTGAGTAGTCTGCACTTTTAATGTATAATACCACACTAGGTTCTAGTTACAGTGCATACTGGAATGTTGCACATCCCACAGGTCAGATGTGTACATCCAAGCAGCACAGATGAAAATCCATATTTTCTGCAGACAGGGAGAGTACCCTGGAGTTAGCATGGGAAATTCAGGGAACTCATTTATGATATGTCTGCTTTATTGTTGATGTGGAAATAAGGATGCTTACCTTTCAGAATAAGACTGCAATTTTTCATGTGGTTTTGTACCCTTGTCTGAAATATTCTCCTTTGATGTCCCAGTCATTTGGAAGAGATTATCATGCTTTTTGTTGTGTTTATTTTAAAGACAGATAGCAACTACTTGGTGTTTTTTTTTTAACTACAATGTTTTCTTGAAAGTAAGTTTCCCTCACAGATTCCCTGGAGTATACTCTTGATTAGCCTATTTACTATCTTATGTCTCTAAGCGTAATGTAATAGGATTTTAAGAGTTAATATTCTTAGCACTGGGGCCTGTAGATGCAATATTAGAAGTTGGTACTAGGAAATAAAATTGAACCAGGCATTCCATGTTAGATGCCTAAAAAAGGGTAGCCCCTTTCCCCTATCTTATGTAAAGGATGGAAACCTTCCATGTTAGTGTCGAGTCCTAATTTCTTCTTAGTAGGAGAGTTCATGAAAATGTTTGATGGTGAAATACTATCTGCACATTCAACCAGTTTTCTCTTGGAGTGCAACAAGGAAGGTTCTGTTGGGGTGCAAATGGGCCCTTAGCATTATCCCTGTAATAATTTACTTTTAAGGGGTTTTTAAAATCTGAGTTTATGTCAGGGTTTCCCAAAGTTATGAGACTCACTTTCTTACTGAATTAAAATTGAAGGCATATTTCACTCTTAGACACATCAAGGTTTGGAGTGTGTTGGAGTCATCTAACTGAGAGAAGCCTGTGTGTTGTGTTGCAGCATAAGTCAGTGTTCTGGGCAAGGCAAAGCACTAAACTCCTACAACAGGCAACCACCTGTGAGAGCAGGTAATAAACTATCAAGTGTCCCAATGCAAAGGTGGAGCACAATTATTTATTCACTAACATATTTACAACAACCCTGTGAGGATGTGACTGGCCCAAGGTCATCCAGGAAGTTTCCATGGCACAGTGGAATTTGAATCTGGGTCTCCCAGATTCTCATCCAATGCAAAGAATGACTGGAAATGACATAGAATGACATTTGTTGTTCAGTCGCACAGTCGAGTCCGACTCTTCGCGACCCCATGGACAAGCTCCCGCCAGGCCTTCCGGTCTTCCGCCGTCCTCTGACATAGAATGACATAGGTGCCTGTTATTATTTTCTTTTCTTTACTGCATATGACATGGAGTTTGAAAATTACTGGTTTAAGTAATTCAATACATGGAGCTGTACATGTTTTCCCTTCGTATCAGTATTCATAGGTTCAGTGAAGAGTTGCTGCCTCAGAATGTAAAGTATGTATACAGCTGTAACATAATACAAGTGGGGGACTCACAGGGGGCATCTCATTCTCCCCTCCCCCACTTTTTCCTCTTTTCCTTCCCTGTAAGCCTCCATTGCCTCTTCCCTTTCCTGCTTCCTTCTTTGCACCCATCAACCAGCCTGCCTTTATCTGCCACCCCTTCACCTTTCACCTTCTTGGTGCTTGGGGGGGTCAACAGTGGGAGGGCTTCTAATGTCCTGGCCCCACTGGTGGACCTCCTGATGGCACCTGGTATTTTTTGGCCACTGTGTGATACAGAGTGTTGGGCTGGATGGGCCTTTGGCCTGATCCAACATTGGCGTCTTTTATGTTCTTATGTTCCCTCCTTCTCTCACCCCTGGCAGCTTCTACCTGGGAAAACTGTGACTCAGTTGCACTGTGAGGAACTTGCAATGACTTCCCCTGTATCTCCTTCCCCACATCATTTCCTCTTTTTCTCCTTCTGGCAATCCCATATCCTCACCTTTCCCTGCTTCCTTCTTCCCACCCACCAACAAACTCACCTTTTATCTGCTCTCTCTCAACTTTATCTACCTTTATATCCTACCCTTTTTCACAATGAGGACCCAAAGCAGCTTACCTCATTCCTCACCATTTTATTGTTGAAGCAACTCTGTATGGTAAACTAGGCTGAGAATGTGTAACTGGCCCAAGGTCACCCGATGAGCTTCCATGGCAGAGTGGTGATTCATGCCTGGGTTTCCCAGATCTTAGTCTGAAACTCTAACCACTATACTACACTGGCTTTCTTGGGTGGCTACTAATCAACAGTAGCATACAGCAGGGCCTGGGTGAGTTCTACAAGGCATGTGGTAACAAGTTGCCTAGAATTTGCTGCTGTGCTTGGCCAGGACAGCCCTGGAAAGAGCTCTGCTCCTCTCTTTTACTGACAGAAGCTGCTCGAAACTGTTTTCTTCCCACTGAAGCTAAGGCCTGAAGGCTGATAGTACTTTTGTGATTGTCTAGCAACAGTCGTGGAGGGCATTTATTTATTAAAACTTTGTGGGAAATGTTACTCCGTTACTCCCCCCCCCCCCCCCCGTGTATTTATTTTTAGATTTTGGATTTTTCTGCAAACCTGGGGCGTTTTTCAGGTTTGTAGAAAGATCTGTCGTCTTTATTTATGGCTCCAGTCTTTGGATTTAAGAATCCATTGACAGGGCCATGTTAAGAATTAGATATACAAGACGCAGGGACCAGCGATATTCGCAGGGTGGAGAAGGAGCTCCACGTGGAGGAGGAGGAAGTGGCCTCAAGTGAGCCCCCCCGCACCGACGGCGAGACCCAGGCCTGCCAATCCTTTTCCCCCCAACCCCCCCCAGCACTGGTGGCGAGGCCCGCGCACCTCCCAGCTGCCAGACCCGCCAATCCTTCTCCCCTCCCCGCACTGGCGGCGAGCCGTGCAGGCCTGCTGAGCCTTCTCCCGCTCCCCCCCCCCCCGCCGCAGCCTGCGCCCGTTTTTTAGATTTTTCTGCGCACCTGGGGACTGCTCC